TTTTTTTACCCACTTGATTCCTATATCTCACCTGGAGTTTAGCAAAGTCCTGATCAGCTTTGGTATAGTTCTGCTCGTTGTCCTGAAGGCACCTGGGGCCGGGGAGAAGATCAAGTGATCGCCATTATTATCCCAGGATAGGCATGCTGTTCACAAAATGCCACTGCTAAAACTATGCTACTTTTTTGCTGGGACACATATACCAGTATGAGCACTATTGGAATGATGAAGAAAGACATAGCGAAAGCCAAAACATCCATCACTAGCATTAATGCCCACTAGAATTCAAAGCAGAAAAATAGGAGTGTTCAAAAGAACAAGGGAACATAACACATATTGATTTTTAAAAAGATGCTCAAGAAAATAACAAATTCAAAAATAAAAAAAATTTCCAATCATTGTTTAAAATTATTATGATTTTTTTTCAGCATATTACAGGGGTACAAATGTTTAGGTTACATATATTGCCTTTGCACCGCCTGAGTCAGAGCTTCAAGTGAGTCCATCCCCCAGATGGTGTGCACTGACGCATTAGGTGTCAATGTACCCATCCCCTCCTCCCCCTCCCATCTGCCCAATTCCCGATGAATGTTACTACTACACGTGCACATAAGTGTTTATCAGTTAATACCAATTTGATGGTGAGTACATGTGGTGCTTGTTTTTCCATTCTTGTGATACTTCACTTAGTAGAATGGGCTCCAGCTCTATCCAGGATAATACAAGTGGTGCTAGATCACACTTCCAATCATTTTTAAATTGAGATATAAGACATATATCATAGTATTCACCATTTTAAGGTATACAATTCAGTGATTTTCTAGTATATTTACAAGATTGCACAACCATCACAACGAACTATTAAATACTTCCAAAACATTTGCATCACTTTCAAAGAAACAACTCTTTACCCCATTCCCCTCTTTGCCTAGACCCTGGTGACTATTAATCTGTTATGTGTCTGTATGGATTTGCTTATTTGGGGCATTTTATATAAACGGGCTCATAAAATATGTAGTCTTTTGTGATTGGCTGCTTTCATCTAACATAAAATTTTTAAGGTTCATGCATATTATAGCATATATTAAAACTTCATTCTATTTTATTGTTGAATAATATGACCATTATATTGATATATCACATTTAATTTTTCCATTCAAGACATTTGGGTTGTTTCCACTTTTTGGCTATTATGGACATTCATGTACAAGTTTTTGTGGGAACAATGTTTTCATATCTCTTGGTGGAATTGCTGGGTCATATAGTAATACCATGTTTAACACTTTGAGGAACTGCCAAATTGTTTTCCACATTGGATGCATCATTTTTCATTCTCACCAGCAATGTATGAGGGTTCCAATTTATCTATATCTTTGCCAACATTTTATTTTTTAAATTGACACATCATAATTATACATATTATGGGGCACATAGTGATATTTTGATATATAAATAATGATCAGATAAGGGTAATAATAAGCATATCCATCATCTTAAACATTTACCCTTTATTTGTATTGGGAATATTCAATATCCTCCTTCTAGCTACCTGAAACTATACATCATTTTTAACTATAGTCATCCTACAGTGCTATAGAACACTACAACTTATTCTTCCTCTCTAGCTGTAATTTTGTATCCTTTAACAAATCTCTCCCTATCCCCCCTTCCTCTTATCAATACTTGTTATTTCCATTTTTTAAAAATTATAGCCATCCTGGTGTGTGTGAAGTGGTATCTCTGTGTAGTTTTGCTTTGAATTTCCCAGATGACTAATGATGTTGAATATCTTTCCATGTACTTTTGGATATTTGTGTGTCTTTTTTGGGAAGAAATGTCTATTTAGATCTTTGCCCATTTTAATTGGGGTTGTCTTTTTATGGTTGAGTTCTAAGAGTTCTTTATATAATCTGGATACAAGTCTCTTATCATATATTTATGTCTCTTATGCAAATATTTTCTCTGATTTTGTGGCTTGTCTTTTCACCTTATTGAGAATGTCTTTGATGCAAAACAATTTTTAAATTTTGAAAAAGTTCACTTCATCTGATTTTGTGTATGTGCTTTTGCTGTTATATGTCAGAAACCATTGCTTAATTCAAGGTCATAAATATTTACCCCTGTGTTTTCTTCTAAGATTTTCATAGTTTTAGTTTCATAGTTTTAGCTCTAACTTTTAGGCCTTTGGCCCATTTTGATTTATTTTTGTATGCGGTGAGAGATAGGATACAAATTCATTCTTTTGAGAGTGGATGTCCAGTTGTCTCTGCACCAGTTGTTGAAAGGCTATTTCTTTCCTGGTCGAAAACTGACCATAAAGGTAAGTGGTTTTTTTTTTTTTTTTTGGCTCTCATTTTATTCCATTGATCTATATGTCTATTCTTAGGCTTGTGCCACCCACTGTTGATTGATTACTGTAGCTTTGTAGTAAGATTGTTTGTAGTAACTTTGTAGTGGGTCCTCCAACATCGTTCTGCTTTTTCAAGATTATTTCTCTATCTTGGGTTCACTTTTCCATTTAAATCTTAGGATTAACTTGTAAATTTCTACAAAGAAGTCAGCTAAGATTTTGCATTTGCATTTTTTATATATAAATTTGGGGTGTATTGCCATCTTAACAATCTTAAGTCTTCCAATACAGGAATATGGGATGTCTTTTCATTTATTTAGGTCTTCTTTATTTTTACAAGGTTTTGTGGATTTCAGACTATATGTTTTACATTTTGTTTGTTAAATTTGTTCCTAAGTATTTTTTTTGTGCAAAAAAATGGAAGTGTTTTCTTAATTTTTTTTTTTTTTTTTTTGAGACAGAGTCTCGCTTTGTTGCCCTGGCTAGAGTGAGTGCTGTGGCGTCAGCCTAGCTCACAGCAACCTCAAATTCCTGAGCTCAAGCAATCCTTCTGCCTCAGCCTCCCGAGTAGCTGGGACTACAGGCATGTGCCACCATGCCCGGCTAATTTTTTTCTATATATATGTATTTTTAGTTGTCCAGATCATTTCTTTCTATTTTTTAGTAGAGACGGGGTCTCGCTCTTGCTCAGGCTGGTCTCGAACTCCTGACCTTGAGCGATCCACCCGCCTCGGCCTCCCAGAGTGCTAGGATTACAGGCGTGAGCCACCGTGCCCGGCCGTGTTTTCTTAATTTTATTGTCTGATTGTTCATTTCTGATATAGTAATATAATTGATTTTTATATATTAATTTTGTACCCCGAAACAACGTAGAACTTGTTTATTAATTTTAACAGTTTTTTAGTGGTTTCCTTAGGATTTTATATATATAAGATCATGTCATCTGATATGAACATTACATTGTTTCAAAATTAGTATAATTATAAATGATAAAATTAATATGTGTATTTTACAAGCCTATTTTTCTTGGAAGCACAATATCCAAATAGTTATTTTTACAAATTAACTGAAAGCTTCCACTTTTCACTCCCTACTCCTCCCAGCTCATGCCTATCGAGAGAGACTCCTAGCACTTACTTCTGATACCACTGGAGGTTCATCTCAGATTGAGTGGAGGAAGTCAGCACCATTTCCTGCTGTTCCTGAGAGAGGGTGGGCATGGAGCCGGAGGAGGGTGTGGGCACTTGGGTGGAGAAGGTGCTCTGGGTCTCTTTGGGGCTGGTATCTCTCACAATCAGCTCATCATTCACAATGTACATACTGGAGGAAAGATGGGCCCTCAGACAATCAGACAAATGGACAACCCCACACTTCTAACAATGATCCTGTTTCCACTGCCACTCACCAACCAGATGCTTTCCAAACCCTTATTTTGCCTATCTTCCAGATCCCTTGGCTGGTAGACTTTACCCCTACCACATAGTTCACCTTTGGAGAGATTGTTTATCAACTTGCTTAGATTTGTAGATTTAACCCCAATGCATGTACCCTTTACAAAAGAAGTGGACCCTCATCCCCGTTTTTAGAAAAGGACAATTAGTCACAAGGAAGTCTTATAACTTGAAGATTACACAGCTAATTATTGAGGGTTGGGGTCAAGAATAGAATCTGGTATTTTCCTAATCTAGACTTCTCCTTGGATCTACCTGTTAGCTTTGCATGGTATTGAGAAGACCCTAAGACTATATTATCACATTTCTATACCACTGGCCTCAGGCTGGAATGGATGCTCCTACCCACAACACAGCACTTACCTGGAATCACTGCCAGAAGTCAAGATGAAGGTCCGGGTGAAGGCACGAACACAATCCTGGTACTGTCCTTCCACTTCAATGACAACAATGATACCTCTTTAGAGTTGCACATGCTTTACACATGCACATGAGGTTCCTCAGTCAGGATCTTACCTGATACTCTTGTAGCACCCTGAAGGGAGCAGACTGGGAGAATTTTTCATTGGGAGTCAGGAGGGGTTTCAGGGACTGAGAGGGCAACAATAGGAATAATAACCTCCCAGTAATAGAACCTCCTAACATGTGCCAAGTGCCTTGACAAGCACAAGTTCACTTGACTCATTTTTTACAGTTGCCCAAGAGATAAGCTTACCAGTCCCATTTTGAAAATGAGGAAACTGAGTGGTTAGGTAACAAACAGGCAGAAGGTCAAAGTTCTTAAAGTAAGGACATGTGATGAGAGCAATCAAACTCCATTGCCTGTGTCCCTAATGTCTGAGCTGTGCAGGGGCAGACAGGCACACATGTAGGTAGGTCAGCAATGACGTTTGGGAGCAAAATAGGGGTGGGAGAACACAAAAGGAATCTGAAAGGGAGCATAGAGGATGGGATGGGAGGGGAAGAGAGGGAAACAACTTGGAAGGCTGAGACAGATCTAGGAGGAGGCCCGGCCAGGGAAAGGGAGTAATAAGAGATATGGGGAGGGGACTCCACAGACAGTTACCTTCCTTGAACACTCCATTGACAGAAAAGCAAAGCATCCTTTCCTGAAAGGGAAGAACAGTAAGCTAGAGCTTTTGTGATCCTCTTACCTACCTACCTACCTATTTCCTACCACTTTGACCTTCTGGGCTTGCCTAAGGGAGGAAGCAGGTGCTCACCGTCTGGACGCACAGGTCTACCACATAGGAGTTAAGGTCATGCTGAGTTTTGGGTAAAACACTGAGAGAGTCCACAATCTCATGTTTTGTGTACTTTAGCAGCTGAACCTGCAGGTCTGTGTGGGAAAGAGAAGAATTAGGGGTGCCACACCCTGACTCCTGTACCCTATTATTGACCCCACACTCCCTTTCCCGTGCTGATCTCCCCTATCACACACTTACCAGGGTCTGTGACCTTCTTCAGATTCCTGCTATCCTTGAAGTACTCGCACAAACCGCTTCTAAAAGAGAAAGAGGAAGAGGAGGTGGCGGTCCAGCCAGTGCGGGTGTTTCTAGGAGCTGATCTGTGCCTGCTGGGGAGTCACATGGCCCTGGAGCAGAGTCTGAGCCGTGATACTCACGAAGCTGGGTCCTCAGGGCTGAAGGGAATGGTCAGGGAGAAGCAGGCCTCCTCGTGGTAAGCACCCAGGAGACCCTGTCGGTCTCCAGAGTCATAGATCAAGTAATACCTGTGGGGGAGCAAGGGGGGACATGCTATATCTATGATCTGGACCCCTAAAGGAGTCTTCAAAGCTCCCCTCAACTCATGAGCAGACATGTGCTCGAGTTGGCCTGTCTTATCCCAGCCCTCCCCTGCCTCATGGTTCCAGGGGTACTCACTGAAGCAGGAATTGAAGTACCAGACTCTTCAAAGACTCAGATCCTTTATAGCTTTCCTGGAATGAAAAGACACCTTTAAACTATGCGGTTGGCAAAACCTCCCTTGAAACACCTCAAATCATCACTGTCGCTTCTCACCTTACAAGGTTTTATTATCTCAGGGGCTTCGGCATCAATTATAGTTGGAGATGTTAACTCCAAGCCATCCTGAGGAAGGGAAGAGGTAGTCAGCAGTGCAGACCAGGGAGGTAGAGCTGGATGAGCAAGGAGATGAATGGGTCCAGTGGGAACAAGGGCAGGTATGAAATGGCTCTTGGAATTTTATTAGCAAGACAACAGTTGAAATATTCACCAGTGGGTCCTGAAAGCCTCTATTATTATATGCAACTATTGTGTGAACAAGTAATCTTGAGTGTGTGTGTGTGTGTGTATGTGTGTGTGTGTATGAGCGTGTGTGTTTATGGCCACTTTTTGCCAGTGACAATAGCTATACTTTTGTCAGGAGTTCATGCTCCATACCTGGCTAATAGTAAAACGTAAAAAACCTAACCTACGCAATTCGCAAAACACTTGAGAGCAGGTACAGAGGTCATATAGGTTAGTAAGAGGAGACAATGATGATAGTAGGTACTTACCAGGCGTAACAATTCAGGGAAACGGTCCCGTACAACCCTGTCCAGAACCAAAAATAGAATGAAGTGACTGACAGTTCAGAAGCAGGAAATTGAGCCAGGCTCCAGGGATTCCTTGCCCTCCCTGCCTCACTGTCCTTCCTCCAGATCCTCACAGTAGGCTCCGCAGGGAGCAGGGAATGGGGTGTTAGCCCTGCTACCTCACTGGGTGTCCACCATTCTGCTAGGCCTGGCTCTGGCCCTGGCTAACACCAGGTCATCCCCCAGGGATGGCCCAGGATGCTGGGGCAGGGAGGTGAGTGAGGCCAGGCTCAGGAGGCAGGGAGGGGAAGGAAGTGGGTAGGTGGCAGAAAGAGTGAAGGTCTGAGAGGGAGGTATGGGGGAGACACAGGAGAGGAGAGGCCAAGGAGAAAGAGGAAGCAAAGCAGACGGAAGGGAAAGATGCTCTCCCATGGCGGTGGGGCTCAGGGAGAAAGAGAGAAAAAAAGTGCCCCCCTGCGGCTGCCCTTCCTCTCACCTGCCCCTGGCTGGCCCTGGGCACTGAGGCAGGAATGCAAATGACACATGTATTGGGCTGGGGCTTTGGTCACCTGGGCGAGCCCAGTCTGAGCTGGGCATAGGAAACGGAGCAGCCACGGGGGCAGGAGACCTTCCCCAAAAGGAGTGAAGCATCAGGCTCCAGCTCAGAATGGGGCTGAGGGTCTGGGGCCCCCTCTCAGGATCACCACGTCCTTTCCTGATGGTCCTGGCCCAGCTGTGCCCGTCTGAGCTGGCGCCGTGCCCGAGGCATCATTCCCATCTCGGGATACTCAGGGCTCCTCTGAAGGACCAGGCAGGATGGCGTGAGGTGTGGCGGGAGGGAGAGGCAGTAGCCCAAGAGGCCTGTCCTCTGTCTCCTCAACCTCCTCTGCCCTCTGCCTCCCGCTCCTGCCTCGGGAAGCCCTCTGCTCACTGGCGGTGGCTCACTTCTGGTTCCTTGACGCAGGGAACCCAGGTCCCTCCCCAAGGAGGACCCAGCTCCTGCCACTGTGCCAGAGGAACGGATGTCATGACGGCAGCCACCCAGTGCCTCAGCCCTCAGCCCTCAGCATGGGGCAGGGAAGCCACCACGTCAGCCCAGGACAGGTGAGTGGGCCTTTATGGAGCAAGGGAAGGAGGGCCCCTCTCAGAAGAGGGGAGGGAAGGACCACGTCAGCACGCAGGCAGGAAGGCCTGGCTCAGCATGGGGTCCTGGGCCCCAGCATCTGGCCCAAGCCTGAACACCCTGGTCCTGGTGAGGAGGGGAGTCCTGCTTCCTGGCACACACTCATGGAGGGCGTCCTGGAGGAGGCTGGCTGCAGAGAGGTGGTAAACACACCCCCGAGCAGGGCAAAAGGGGAGCAGGTCAGGGAAGGGAAGGAGACCTCTAAGCAGAGCTGAGGGACACAGACAGAGAGGAGAGGGCAGGGCCTGTGATCCTCCCTGAGGGCCAGGGCTGCCTCCTCCTGTAGAAGGGCACTGTCAGGGGCAGCTCAGCTTCCCAGGGGGCGAAGGGGTCCAGGAAGGGTGACAGAGGTTACCACCGACCTTATGTAGATGGACTGGCCTGGGAAGTTGCAGCACAAGGGGTTCCCTTCTAGCCATAGCTCTTCCAGCTTCAGCCCTTTGATCTTGTCCAACTCCGACACTGACGTCAGCTGAGAAGTATGAGGGGAAAACTGGAAAGGTAGTCTCAGGGAAAGAGACGTCCGGGACCCTGGACACCTCCGTCCCCTCACTCGGCCACGGGTTCGTCTGCCTGCCTGTTGTCATCACCCCCATGTGCACTACCACCCACCCTCCACCCAAATTTGTCCTGGTTCCCTCATCTCACCTCATTTTTGGACAGGTTCAGGATCTTGACTTTGGGGGCCTTCTCTATAATGTGAGACAGGCCATCCAGCTGGTACAGTTTGTTGTTGCGCAAGTTCAAGGACAATAACTTTTGGGGAAGAAGAGTTCATTACAGTGATAGTTACTCTCTAGGGCCTCGGAGATAAACCTGCCCTGAACCCAGCCTCTTCCAGTCCCCTGCCTAAGGCCTCACCTCAGGGAAATCCCTCTCAATGATCTGCAGGGTGGCAGCCATGCAGTTTCTTCGATTCAGGACTATGTCCACATCACGCCCCACCAAGTCTTCAGAAAAAGGAAATCAGAAGGCTGAGAGGGGTTCGCCTGGACCAGCGCCAGCACCAACCCCTCCCCAAGTTGCCATCCCTGAGTCTCCCTCCCAGGCAGACCCCTCTGTCCTCACGTGCCCTAGAATCACTGCCGACAGCCATACCTGCGTCGAAGCGGAGCTTCTGGAGGTCAAGAGCTTTCTGGGAGACATCATATCGTTTGTTCATGGTCAGCTGCAGAGAGAGAGGTGGAGAGTGGCTCTGAGGCTGTGCTGGTAGGGGTGACAGGGAAATCGGGGCCTGGGGCAAGAAGAGATGAGTCCAGGAAGTGGGCATACAACGTGCCTTGAGTCTGCATTACCTTTAGCTGCTCCATTTGTTCTGGCTTCAACTTATTTTGCACAGAGTAGGGTACAGCAGAAGGACTGACAAAGATAGATACCTGCAGGAAGGAGACGTAGGGTAAGTAAGCTCCAGGTCTTCTAATCCCACTGAAGATGACCAGCCCCTGGCCTGTCCTCCTGCCCTGAGACTAGGTACAGGGAATGTTCTCAATACATACCATTTGATTTTCCTCATTGAAAATTTTGTGTTTGACATCCTTCAGTGCGGAGGCAGTACCGGCATCCTGGACAAAGAACTGGGCCCTGTTTTTGAAGTAGTGGAACTACGGGGAGTGAAGGCCAGAGCAACAGTGTCAGAGGCCAACAGTCCCTGCTGAGCTAGGCCTCTCCCCCTCCCCTGTGCCCACCCAACTGGCTTCACCATCCTCTCTTACATCGATCGCGGTGAAGGGGACACTGCAATGGCTCTGGATTGAATTCAGGAGCCACGTCCTGTCATACTTTATCCCGTAAGGAATCTACGGGTGAAAAGAAGAAAATAGGAGAGAAGACAGCCAACATGGAATTAAGCCTGGAGCACACACTCAGCCAGGTGTTTTTTCTGATCTTCTACCTAGCTTTAATGGACTTCTAAAGAAAAGAAAAATTTTTTTTCCAGATATTATTGTCCTTTCTCTGTATTCCAGATTCATCCCCAACAAATAATGAAATTCAGATGCTCAAAATGATCTTCCTTTCATAAGGTTCCAGAGGAGTCTACTTATTAAAGACCCGGACTGTCCTTCTGAGAAGGACTCCAGAGACTCAACATCCCCACACTAAGCTTGAGCCATGAGGCATCTGCTGGAGAGCTGCTCCATTTTCTTGGCTGTAGTTTCCACCTTCGCCTTTAGACAACCTCTTAGGTCTTCTTGCAGTCAGCCTGTTCCCTTTATATTCCTTCTCTGAACCTACCCTTATGTGTTAACTCCCCATGTCCCTAGAAAAGTACCTAGCACTTCTACATATGATCAACACAACTCTTCCTGACCTGCCTCTCCTGCACATTCCCTACATTTTGTCAGGACACTCACTGTGATCTTGAACCAGCACCCCAGGGCTCCATCCTGCATATTCTTCTCCATTTCTCTCTCTGGAGTAATTCTATCTTGATATTCATTATGCCATTTCTTACACTTATTGTTGGGTTTTAAGGTAGATGAGTTGCTGTGGGGAAATGGGTTGAAGGATGTGTTCATAAATGTATATAAATGCACAGAAATGCTACGAAGTTTTCTATACACTCTCAACTCAGTGGTAACCAGATTTACAATTAGGATCATTCAACCATTATTCCAATTTTATCATTCCCCACTTTTTCAGTCAGAGAAGAAAAAGAAGACCACAGAGAGTGAAAGAGTTGCACAGTCCCCAGGGCTGCTACATGCAAACAAGGCTGCCTGGTTACTTACTGTCTTACTTGGGGGTCCTCATGGACATACCTTATCACCAAGTTTCCATCATCCTCCTGAAGGTGGGAAGGTGAATGCTCACTCCTACCATGTTCAGAATGAAGGTTTCCCTTGCCAAAATTCCCCTGGGAAGAACTCCCACCTTTCTCTTCTCGTTGAGGAGAGCTATCATCATTACTGTATTCTGAAATTGAGAACAAAAATACAAGTTTGAAGATACATCAGTGGTCATATACCACATACCATGTCTTGGCCTAACCCCACTGTAGGGTAAGCAAAGTGCCAATCTGCCCTAATAGAGCAATCACACAAACCCCAGAAAGCAAACTCCTCTGCCTGTCCAGATATGTGAGCCTTTTCTCATAGATAACATAATTAGTGAAGAAGTCTTAAAGGAGGAGGTAATTGTGTGGAACCATTTGGAAAATGGAGCAGGATTTATAAAGAACGTAAGTGTGACTGTTCATGGGTCAGGCTGGACATCAGCCATATACCAGGAAGACAGCCAAATCTTGCCTTCTCTTATGCCTCTGTAATCTAACAACCTCACCAAAATCTGATAGGCAACTTCTCTCACACTTCCTAAACCAATCAGCCACCAAATTTCATTTCATTAGCATTCTGCAAGCTGTATTTTCTTTTCTAGTACAAGCTTTCATGACAGAATGGACTGATGCAACAGCCTGCTAAATTGTCTCCGTGCCTCCAGCCTTGCCCTCAACAATATTTTTGGAAATACCTAAAGTGAACTTTCTTTTTGTTCAGGCCAAAATGTCTTTCAGCTGAAGAAACAATACTTCTAACCTCCACTATTCTATAATAAGGGTCTGAATAATGAACTGAAATGGTAGGTGTCAACTACAATTTCCAAGTATTTAGAGATTTTTCTATGGTCAGAGAGCATTGTTTCTATGATTTCAGTTCTTTTAAATTTGTTGAGGTTTGTTTGATGGCTTAGGAGATGGTCTATCTTTGTGAATGTTACAAGACACTTGAAAAAAAGTATAATCTGCTGTTGTTGGGTGGAGTATTCTATTATATATATGTCACATAGATCTGGTTATTGTATTAATTACACTATTCATATGTGTACCCTTGCAGATTTTGTTTAGTCATTTTATTAATTGCTGAGAGCGGGGTGTTGAAGGCCCCAACAATAATTATGGACTTGGCTATTTCTCTGTTCAGCTCCATCAGTTTTTGCTTCATGTACTTCGAGGCTCTGTTGTTTTGGTGTGTACATATTTAGGATTATTATGTCTTCCCGGTGGATTGATCCTTTTACCATTATATAATATCCTCTTCATCTACTAATTTTCTTTACTCTGAAGTCGACTTTATTGAATGTTATGGACACAGGTATGCTTATAATGTGTTTTGGTTATATTTTACACTGTAGGTACCCCTAGGAACTTCCTTGTTCACGCCCCCACACTTCCCACCAACATGTTTAATTCACAGTGTGGCAAGATTTGGAAGTTTAATTTACATCTACAGAAATAAGATAGTATCAATTTTCTCTCCCATAGATGTATCACTAAGTGTATTTTATTTTTATCACATTCAACTGAAACAATATACCAGTAGATGGTAATCCTAGCGGTTTTGGAGATGGGGTTAAGGAAATTAGAGTATTAGAAACCAGCTTCCTTTTGGGCTCTAAATTTAAGGTTCTCTAGGTTTGTATTTCATACATATTATATATTAATTACTCCATGTTGTCTCAGGACATGCTTATGAATAACAATCCACTTACTCTTTTTTTCCTGAATTCCAAATAATTTATGTAGATCCTGTATTTTCTTATTTTTATCTTTTGTCATTTTGGTTTTTTTTTAATTTCAACATATTAGGTGGTACACAGCCATAAAAAAGGTGAATTAATGCCTTTTGCAGCAATTTGGAGGGAACTGGAGACCATTATCTTAAGGTAAGTATCTCAAGAATAAACAAACAGACACCACATGTACTCTCTTATAAACTGGAACTAACTGATGGGCACACTAGTACACAGAGGAAAGTAAAAGTCATTGGAAATCAAAGAGGGGGAGGGGGAGGAGGGGAAGGGCAAAAACCCATCTAATGGGTACAATAAACACTATTCAGGTGAGGGGCATAATCCATTCATTGTTATACTTTACAATGTACTGATTATGATCAGGCTTCAGATGAACTCCTCTAGGGAGTCATTGCTTTCACTATGTGACCCATGGTCAAAAAAATCCTGCTACTCACAACTTTCAGGATTTTCCCTATATGGCAATGGAAATGAAATTAAATATTAAATTAAATATGGCCCAGAAATTCTTCATGTTCAATCCCCAAAATTTGGAGATAGCTTGGAGTGCTCTATTTTTCTCATACTTCTCACCCAACTGATCAGGATGAGATCTTTGGCTCTACCTTCAAAATATATCCAGAGGCTGGCCCCTTTTCACTACCCCCATTGCTACCACCCTGGCCAGGTCACCACCATCTATCTCTTGGATTATGTTGCCTTCCTACTCTTCCCTCTGCTTTTATACTTGCTTCCTTACCATCTATTTTCAACATAGCAGAGAGGGAGATTTTTTTTTAAAGCACAAATCAAATCTTGTCATTCCTCTGCTCAAAATCCTATAACAAGGATTTTGTTAAAAATATGCTAAAAAGCCATGAGTTCATAATGATACTCAAAAACAACAATAAAGAAGAACCTTATTGGTGACATTTGGAGAGTACCAGAAAACCAACTTATTTTTATGAAAATCTGTAAATAAATGGGAAGAATCAAATATTTCTTCTGTCTTTCCTATACAAGCTGTACATAAAGATAGCCAAACTGTTAATTAGAGTTTCTCTTTATAAGAATATTCCAGTCAATAAATATATGAAGAAGGCAAGACAGAATTTGACTAACATCATTTAAAAGCTAAGTGAGTGAAGGATCTATACAATGGTCATCAATGGCTGGTAAAAATCACAAAACAGGAAACAACCAGACATCATGTATATGGTTATGAGCACCACCTATGAAGTATTCTTGCCAAAAACATTAAATCTGAATCTGATCAAGCCTCAGCAGCAATCTAGGTCTTGTATTATCATGGAGATGAATTGAACCAAATATGTGACAAATGATCCAGTTTCTTTAGCAAATAATTTGAGAAAGAGAGAGAGAGAGACAAAGAGGTGACATGTGACTATGTTTGGTGTTGTATACTAGTACGCTATTGGATAAGTTATGCATATACACAGATATATTTTCAAACTTCAATCTATGGCAAAAATATCTGTAACCTGCTCTTTTCATTTAACAATTTTTAATATCATTGCATGTTCAGAAATATTTAATTTATTTTTATCATTTGTCAAATTAATATGATTTTCCTTTAAAGAAATTGTGGAAATTAAAGCTAAGGTCACCTGTTTACCAGAGCAAGAACTGACAGCTGAAAAATGCCCTTGGATAAATTGCTTAACAAAAGTTGTTGAATACATCTATAAATTAGCATTTCTCCATTGCCATAATAACTCAGTTTAAGGGCTGCATAATATTCCAATGTATGGATTTATCATAATTTATTAAACGGTTTCCCTTTAACATATTTTTCCAAGTTTTTCCTACTGTAAACAATGCTACTAAGAATAGGATCATACATACATTCTATGTATTTGCTTACAGTTTTCCATGCAATAATAATAATGCTATAAGTGGATTATTTTGGTCAAAACATGAATGTTTTAAATTTTAAGAGATTTTTATAAGTGGTATTCAAAAATATATTTATACCTGTTTGCGTGCTAGTCAAGAGTGAATGAATGAGCCTATATCCTCAAAAGTGCACCAACGATTTTAAAAGTTCATATATGTTGATATGACAATTTCCCTTTTTAAAGTTTATCTTTTGGAAAAACATTATCTCTTATGAATATATACATATTCATCTTAGGATGATGGTGGGAAGAGGGGGATACAGAATCTATTGTCAGGGGAGTGGCTGAACTATCAGAAAATAGTTGTAGGCTGGAAGAGACCTGAGGGTCTTATAAAGAAGAGGCAAAGAGTCCAGGATGGGACCATAAGATGAAGATGAGCAATGGCTATACAGTAAAATGAGAAAAACACCTGAGGTACTGATTGAATCCATGCTAGCCATATATGTCCACCTGGATAACTCAATGGAAAGTATATTACATGTGTTTTCCTGTTCCTGTTTTGAAAAAATAAATTTAGAGTTCTGCTTCTGGCAATGAGAAACTAGTTAGGTTGTACCAAACTTCAATTGAGGATAACTAGAAAAGTGTGGAAAATCATTTAAAACGAAAAAATATTTGAAGGCAACAAAGAGCTTGCAATAAGATGTTATGCGGGAAAGATCAGGGGAAAAAAGAAATCCAGAAGGCAATCCCAATCCTTGGGGCTACTTTTTTCCTAGCAGTAGTTAATGATTCCTAACAAAGCATGTAAAATGGTGAGATGCTGTGAATTTGTACCAAATTTCCAGAGTCATGGGGCTAAGAGCATAAAATTTGAAGTTGGGCCTATCAGGAGAGGGGACCCTGGCAAACCACTCTGGCTTAGATAGGAACCTCTAAGAGCTATGCCAGGTGAAAAGGGTAAACTGGAAATAGACCAATCCTCCAAGGAACTGAAGTCCAAGTTAATAATCTCAATCAGTGGGATTAAAGCG